TACTGCTCCCTCCTGTTCTTCCAGATACAAACTAAAGTGCTTGACATCCACTTTTCACAGGTATAATTGCTGAAAAAAATTTATTTTCATGTCTCAAGAATCTTGAAGACATTACTGGACTTTGGCCTGCTACGTAATTCCTGGTTTGACACACGTTGTTTCTTATCTCAGTGATGGTTATTTCAGTTAACCTGTATTGTTTTTAAATGTCTCAGCATTTTCATCGATTCCAAAAGCACAGACAAGATGTTTTATTTTAATCTAATATATTAAATGACATACACTATCCTAAAAATGATCTATCATTCCTTGCAGTAGGTGACAGCAAGATATATGTGTAAATAAAGACAAATATGTGGGGTTTTTTTTAAAAAAAATGCTTTTTTTCAGTTGCAAAAATTCTTCACGGCAGAAATAAACAAAATAAGGATATAAGGAAGAAAAAGTAAGTGATTTTCAAGCTAGAAATAAAGGATAGAGAACTTCAACGCTATTTTCAGACAGGATTTTCTAACATGTAAGGATTTTAAAGTTCCGAATCCAAGAATTAAGAAGAAGACTGCAAATCAGGGAAGTAACTGAACAGGAACTTCTGCAACATATCATTAACCTACCCTTCATGAAGAAAGTAGACTTAGTTATATAAGTAAAGTCTGAATGAGTGATGAACCAACTCAATTGTTTCAGTTGTTGGGTTCAAATACTGTGAAGGAGATGATACATGTTATTTCTCTGCAGAGATCAGCTACCAACACCCTAAATCTCTTACTCGTCTTTCCTCTCCCCGTTCCCTCTGAGTGAACTCATCTCCAGTGAGATTTGTATCAACATGCAACTTGAGTCCTTCAATTGTGGCTCTGAACAAAGATGCTGATTGGTCTTTCTCTCATGGAAGAACTTGGAAATTTTTCCTCACTTAAGCATCCTTTGCCTAAAGCAAGAAGTTTTCCCCGAGTTGTGCTGTACAGATCTGAGCACGAACTTGAGCAGGAGTTCCTGTATTCATCCCCCCCAAATAACCCATCAAGCACTCACTAAAAGCCAAACCTTTTTTTAGAATTTGCTTTTTCTCTCCACAATACATGTGGCATGATTGAAGCAGCTCTGCTCTTTTCTCCTTACAAAGGAAAATGTCGTGACCCTTTCCAGTCTTCTCATCCGCCAGGCTGCTCCACCACCTCACTTCTATCATTGTCACATCAGGCCACCTTCTGGCACTACATCCTCCCTGTCAGAGAGGCTTTCAGTGGATCACCCACAGAAACTTAGGGCACCCAAATCGCATCTGCAGAAATTACTCATTTTGGGAGAGGTTCTGGCCTTTTCCGCTTTGCATGTAGGGAGGCTTTGGCTAAATGCTCTTCATGCTTGTCATTTGGCTGGCGGTGGATATGGTGGGGAATCTTTAATGCATTTACACTGTGTTTTGGCATATGGGATGTTATCTGTTGTTAGAAGCATTTTCAAGGCAGGGCCACTTCCTGCTCAGTGTGAAAAATCAGAATATACTTTTTAGTATAAATCCTGATATTGATTTCTAGTGCTACTTCCATGAAAAATCTAATTCTGACTAAGCACAGGCTAGCACTCATATATTAATAGCAACGAACAGTGAGTTTCATTCACATTTGAAGAAAGCCTTGGGCTGAAATCCCACATTCACAGTCAATGGCAGCTTGCTCCCATACTTGGAAAGTTATACAGATACATGAAATTTAAATACATCTGGTGACACCTTACCTAAAATAACTGAAGTATTGCAATGTGTTAATCCCGCACTCTTTTTTCATCATGTCTGCTGAAATTTGAGAACTATTGATGAGGGCTGTTTTAGCATGTTTTTGTGAATGTACTATCCCAGAGCATTAACATTATGGTTTATGCCTTTGAAACGTGATCCAAGCATTTGCAGAAGATGAAGGATTACTACAGTAGACTAGAAGCCTCATGCTTAGATTAATCCAAACCCCTTAAAGTCATGAAAGCTGCCGACTCCCTACTGCCTACAGTGGACAGTGAATTCTCTAATGTGCCCAGCAAGTCCTGAAAGTTCCTCCAGTAACACGACCAACTGTCTATCCAGACAACAAAATCATCTGCTTCTGACAGAGCAGCAGACACCAGTCCACTCACACAGTCTCTGACTGCAGGCTTGGGACAGCCCTTGGAAGGCTTTTGAGCAGTAAATCGTGCTCTCACTTAATGCCTTTCCCAGCCAAACTCAGTGGACTAGCTAACTAACTAACAGCTATTAAACACAAAGCACTTTAAGATACAGAAAAAAATCTGAAATCCAAAGCAGTGCTTAGCTGTTAGACGGATCAATCCTTTCTTAATTAGAGGCCTATTCATTATGTTGTAACCCTTCCTATTCTCCCCAAATAGTTTCTCCTCATATACTTCCGTATTTCCCCTAAGTATTTATTTACAACAGGTCAACATCACTGTTAGGTTAGTAAATAACCCATGGAAAGGGCTTTCTTGGTAAACCACACATGTGGGAGTAATCAAAAGGCTGCTTCTATCTTAGAGATGCTAATTTGAATTAATTTGAAATTTGACATCCCAGAAAGACAAGCTTGACATAATGGTGCAAAATTAAAATATTCAAAGTATTACAAGACTAAGGCAATGCAAGCTTATTACACTCTAGTTTTAAGTAGCAAGGAGAATCACAGAATCAGAACCATAGAAACACAGAATCATAGAATCATAAAGGCTGGAAAGGACCTTAAGATCAAGTCCAACCTACAGCCCTGCACCACCCTAACACTAAACCATCTCCTGAAGTGCCACATGCAGCCGTTTTTTAAACACGTCCAGGGATGGTGATTCCACCACCTCCCTCAGCAACCCATTCCAATGCTTCAGCATCCTTTCATTGAAGAAGTTTTTCCTAATATCCAAACTAAACTTCCCCTGGTGCAACTTGAACCCGTTCCTTCTTGTCCTGTCGCTATTCACTAGGGAGAAGAGGCCAACACCCGTCTCACTACAGCTGCCTTTCAGGTAGTTGTAGAGAGTGATAAGGTCACCCCTCAGCCTCCTCTTCTCCAGGCTGAACAGCCCCAGCTCCCTAAGCCTCTTTTCATAAGACTTACCCAACAAGCAGAGTAATGCACCTAATCATTACTATACAGGGTTAGCAATAGTTATTAAGAAAGACACATCACCAGTCGTCCTAATATCATTATCCAGATCCACAGTGGCTGGGGAGCCCCTGTTGCAGCGAGGATTCTGGAGAACCGTCCCAGCAGATGGGAAGTCCTGCACAGTGCGTCCACTCATAGGTGAAGTTTCCAAAGTCGCTGCACTATTAAATAAAAAACCTTACATAACTTCAAATGCGGGAATGTCTGGTGTTGTCCACTTTGTTGGATTCCCCCCACACAGCGTGGCCAGACTAAAGGAAGAATACAAGGGAGTTTCCCTAGATATTTAGGTTCTTAATCACGTATTTCTCACCAAAGCCAGGCCTCTGGTCTCATGGTCTTGTAGCATGCTTCTAACAAAGCAAGAATTGGAATGGGAGGATTTTAAACTATAATATTCATCATCTCATATGCAGTTTCTAACAGAAACAAAAAACAACACACCACCAAAAAGCCTGTAAAAGCTTGTGTGAAGCAAGAATCAAGACTTTCAAACTGACAAACAAGGACCATTTTACTCACTAAAAAAACCTCAAACAGTGGTTGCTGTAAAATAGCAGAGCAGGGGCGAACAGTGAGGAGTTAAAAAATGGTGTTTGAAAACAGGAAAATTTAAACCCAAAAACAAACATGAAAACACGACACAACGCTCCCTTCCACAAGTACAAGAAGTATCAAGGGAAATAATCTTTTCCACAAAAACAATGGAAAGGAATGCCTCAGCACACCTGCCCTATCAGCCTAATCACTGCAGAGCATCTCAGTTCAGCTGATTGACAAGTAATTCAGATTGCCCGCTATGCTGAGCTGTCAAGCACAGACTTCACATTGTCAACAGAGGATAGGTGCTAATATCTTCGTATCAATACCCAACAGCAGGTGTGGATAGGGAACATGTAGAGAAGGGAGTTTTGCTAGTCTACCACACTGCCTCTCTCCTGATACACCATTTTACCGCTGCAGTTGGGTGCCAACACACTTGCAGGGAAATTTTATGCATTACTACACTGAAAGCCTGAATGTCAGCTCCCTCTC